AAATCTGTATACTGTTTTGTCAACGGCGCATTTGGCTTCAGCACGTCAATATTTAAATCCCCAGTAACAATGCTTCTGCTTAGGGTCAATTTGTATTTTGGAACACCCAGCTAATTTGTCATCTCATTTTAATTTTTAATTTGTCTCTTAGTTGTTCACAAATGTTACTTTCAGTTATATATCATGCGAAACCAGAGATTCATTTGTCCTCATGGCACAAATTATTTGACCTTGAATATTTACCATTTTGTTTACATTTCCAGTACTCCTGGCAGACTAAGCCTGTGCCCAGCAGATGTAATAATTTAAATTGGGCTTAATGCACAAGACTCTTCAAAGGAGTCTCAAATTCTAATACACATTTAGTGACTACAGTCATAGTTTGAACTGTGGCAAAGAAAATTAGTGCACACTTCAGTGAACAAAAGCACAAAATTTGGGATTGTATCTGTAATATATCAAACACAAGATACAGTGTTTCATTGGGATATTCAAACACCGAGAGAAGAGTTGAAAATACGACGCGCAGCGGAGTATTTTTGACGAAAAATTCAAGGGGTTTTGATAGCCGATGAAACACTGTTTCTGGTGTTTGATATATCTTCTGAATCAAAAAAAAACAAAAAAAAAAAAGGAGTATACGGAGAAGTAAAATCGTCAGAATCTATGCTAATTAAAACTGGGTATCCAAACCTCCTTTACAGTTGTGATTTTCTTTGTTTTTAACTTGATGAATTATTAATGAGGTTGAGAAAGATCTGTCATGCACAGGAGGAGGCGTAGGGGCCTATTAGAAACACCAAAAACTGCACAAAAATATCACCCAAAACCGCAAAACCGCCATAAATTTCGTCCAAAACCGAAAACGAAAATAGAAGCTCTCATTGACAAAGCTTTGGTAGGCTTTAGAATCTCTCTTTCTGTTATTTAATTTTTATACGTCTGAACTGGTTTTAGTTTCCAACATTCTTTCTACATGGTCTAAAAATTTGCTTTCTTGTAAATCGGCTCCACAGACCTATGACAATCTAAAACCAGTCTAAAAGGTTGCACAATAAAATGATTTCGGTAATATTTGTTTTAAAAAAAACACCACAATCTGAAGTTGCTGTTTGAGTGCCACTGTCAGGATTTTCATTTGTCAGAATTTTTATATGTGTAAGCAAAATGGCAGCTGTATTTTACAACCAAATTACTTTCTTTTTACAACCAAACAAAGTCTCTCCTCTGCTGTTATTCTGCGTGAAGGGAGTGAGTGAGCGAAATGGTATTCGTGCGACAAAAAGGGGAGACAACCCCTAATCAAGCTATAGAAACTCAATGGCTCACAATCCAAGGTCAATTTTCATATGATGTTATCCCAGCCATGTGATAGTGGAGCTCCGGCGGTCCAAAGGGCAGCCAAGCGGAGCCCCTTACTCATAGGAAAGAAAAGGAAACCCATGAATTGACTTTCTCATGGTTATCACGGCTAGCGGTATTGCTTGTGGGCACATATGCAGGACGGTGACAATGGCGACGGAGTCGCACAAGGTGGAGGCCATACTTCAAATAATAGTCTTGTTTTACAATGTACTTCTTTGATATTGGACATCCATGTTATGGTCAATTGACACCTGTCAAGCAAGGTATCCGCCGACTAGTATCATGTTATGATATTGCACACTCAAGTTTAGACCTCATCATGGTCACGTGACTTTTTGAGAATGACCTCTGACCAAGTGCTGGTTTTGGACTGGATTGCGGGCTCATATCAGATAAACTTGTAATCAGGGCCAGGTTGTTTGGAAGCCAGTTAATGCTAACCCAAGATTAAAAGTTAACTTAAGTGTAAACTCTTCTTGTTTAAAAATGTTTTTCACTGCTTTTGTTTTGTGTGGTTTTGGATTGTTCAAACTCAAAACAGAAGGCCAAGCAACATAAACAGAAAAGCTCACTGCAAAGTTACAAAACTCAAATTAAATTCTCGCTTATCATGGGTTAGCTTAATCGGGCTTGGTTGGATTATTTTAGTTGGTTGATTGTGATATGAGAAATGCCAATGGAAGACAGGCATGGTGACCTGATGGTCTGAGTTGGAACCTGGAAGGGTGATGCCGTACCCCACTGGCTTCAGGAATTCTACCAAGCATAGCGGTCAACTCGTACCAACAAGGGGCATGACATGCTACTACTTTAGCTTAAGCATTTAAAGATATTCTACCTGCCTACAGTTTATCTGAGGGCTAGACACAAGAATAACAAACATCCAGTTGTATTCTTAAGTCTATTCCATCCACATTTACACGTAACACAAGGCCAAAATCTCCTCATCCCACCCACCCCAGGTTTGTAACCTCTCTAGATCCTGATGACAACAGCTACTCAGTTAGCCGCAGGTCTGTGCTTCATATTTATGTCACCATTTCCATGATAGTGGTTCTGTTGAATCCAGCTACACTTACCCTATAGACATATACTGTAATTAACAAGGGGCCAGCTCTTGATATGCTTGAGGAAAGGCTGTTTGGAGGGTGAGGGCTGGGAAAAAAGGGTAAAGTCTACATACAAGCTAAGTGGCCCATCGGGCCAGAGCTCATCCTGGTTTCTGAAGCATAAAGCGACTACATGTAGGAGTATTTTTACTCCCCCCTGGATGGGATGCTAGTCCATTGCAGGGTTACCCCAGCATTAAGTTCACCAGTACCCATTTATATACCTGGGTGGAGAGAGGTACTGTGAGAGTGTCTTGCCCAAGAACACAAGACAATGTTGCCGGCAACCCAGATCGCTCAATCTGGGGGCAAGTGCACTAACCATGAAGCCAACAGGGAAGGGAGGGCTGGGGAGGGAGCTGGTATATTCACCATCATTAGTGGTGAACTGTTTTACCTGTGAAAGTGGGATGTAATTCAGATAGGGGTGGCAGGGGGGAGGGGCTGAGGGTGGAATTTGAGAGGAGAGGCCTGAGGGGTCAGGAAATGAAAGACTAATAGGGGAAGGAAGGGTTGGAAGGTTGGGATTTCCATATGTTGAACAAATCAAGTCAATAAGGAATAGTAGTTAAATAGCAAAATGCACGTGGACAAAGAGAA